CATCTGGTTGATCGGAAATGGAAGGAATTAGCAATGGAAATCTGATCTATTAACGAGCCCTGTTATGCCAAGGGGAAGCAGTAGCTATCTGGACTGGCTAATGTTTGAAGCTGTCGTGATTTTGTTTGAATGGGGCTGTGTGGCAATTGGGGAACAGGAGTGCTGGGAGTTTGAAGTGTTACAAGGCAATGGGGAGGCCAAATGCTAATACTGCCTCAGCAAGTAAGAAGACAGGACAGGGAAGTGGCTGCTTGCACTGCTGTGAAAGAAGTGCCAGTCTGGGTTACCACAGAAGTGTACGTATATACTTCTCCATTTTTGTAAGCTTACTGGTTCTGAATAATGTATTCAAACTTCAAGAGCACATAAGGGGTTGTTGAAAGCCTGGGTTCTATAGAAGGTGTTGGATGGGGCATTATTTTTTAGTATCTGCCCCCTTTGCTTGCTTATTTCAGCAGCGATGCTTTTCTTGTATTACTTATATAACTGTGTGGAATACTCCTGAGGGAATGGTAGGATGCAACTAACCTAAGCTGTTCAGATACCCTGCTATGACCCTCAGTGGTTTTGTACTGAGAGGTAGCTTGAATAATGCAAAAAAAAGACACCTGTTTCAGCATTTCCATCAGTTGGTTAGTGGCTGCACTCAGCTAACTGACTTACAGGAATGTAAGCTGGTCAAATGGCATCTTGGAATTTTTTTAAGATACTTCTGTTATAAATGGGCATTTCCTGCACTGAAAACAGAGGACTCATATTTCTGCTTTTATAGTGTACCTGTTCTGTACTTAATTGTCAATGTCAGTGGCAGAATTTGTCTTCTTTTTTGATCTGTTACTTCTGAGGAGCCAGTATTGTAATGAATGTGAGATTAATGTATTTTTACCTCTTTATGATTTTTGCATCAGCATAATTGTTAATCTCGTAAATATTTATTTTGTTTAATCAGACATGTAGCTGAAAGCCATTATTGAGAACCCATTCGGTTTGCAGTGACTCTTCTTTGCTTTTAATAGAGGCTTTTAATGAAAGAAACAAACCTAAAGGTGTTTGGGTTTTTGTTGTTTGTTTTTTTTCTTAGTCCAAACAATATGTAGTTCTGACAATGTAAAGAAAAAACCACAAAAATTGTTACAGATGCTTGTGTATGACAAGCATGTGTTTAGTCTCAGAGCATTTTCATTTTCTTTTATTCCAGATGTCTGCATTAATTGCAGTGTTTAAATATGTACACTTTTATCTTAGAGTTCTTCATCTGGGAAGTCATTGTGTTAAACCATAAAGAGCCCGAGGATGTAAGGCTTACTTCAAAGAAAGCAATTGCATGCCTATGTAGAAGTCTCATACCACTTGACAGCTTTTGTTTGCCTTAAAATATATGTCCTGGAGCATTGTGCAGACTAACATTTCAGGTGTTAAAATGGGTGGTGTTACCACACCAAGTCTGTCAAATAATGACTTGCAGCAAGTCAGCACTTCCAGCAAGGACTGAACTCTGTACTGTAATGATTTCTGACTCATCTTACAGACATAAAAAAAAAAAAAAAAAAAAAAAGAACTAAACCATCCTTTATATTTCCTCTCTGTGAATTCATTTGATATTTCACAAGTGTTATCACTGATTCCCCTCCCCCCTCAGGAGGGGTACCAGGCAGCACCAAATCCTACTGCAGGTATTAACCCTTTAAAGAAACATTTCTCAAGTGTCCACTGTTTAGTGCTGTAGCAGTGATCCTCTGTAGAACATTCTTCCTAGCCTGTTCTCAACAAGACGGAAAGGATCTGAAAACTTCCAGAATGAGGAAATTGGACAGTAGTTGGTATGCTGTTAGTTTTTTTGCTAGCTTAATTTTGGTAAATGGAAAAGCTTGGATGTGCTTAGAAAAGGCAATTGCTATTCAGCAGCCTGGTAAAGGTTATACCAGGCTGTTTGTGGTTTATTGCAAGGTATTTTGTTAAATCTCTACTAGCATGTACTCCTTTTGGTCCCTGGCTCTTGACCATAAGATGGTTTTGGATGGATAAACAAGAGATAAGTATGGTTTAGGATATGATCTTCATCAAAACTAACTCAGATGAACACCCAGACTCAACGAGGAAAAGTGTACAGTTTGAGCTGCTTTATTTGAAACACAAGGTACAAGCAGTTAGCCTGATGGATGTGTGGATCTAGCGAGTCCAAAAATCTATTCAGTGTTGTGATTGGTTTCAGTGAGTGTGCTGAGACCTTCTAGTAGGGTAGATTGGAGGTGGAAGGGACCCTTGACCATCTGCACATGTTAGAGTGTAGGAAGTGGCTTGTAGTAATAAGGTTTTGGTGGATTTTTCTTTTCAAATCTAGCTAAGTAGTGCCCATGTATATACAGTAATGCCTTCAAATGCCTTAGTTTTCAGGCTTTTTCACAGGTTTGGACAACATATCAGGGAATTGAGAGGTCAGAAACACAGAATTTGTTCAATGTGAATAAACAATAAAAAGCTCAGATTTGAGGCTTTTTCCAGCCCAGTTGCTCTTCACATTCATGCAGTTACAGGTGCTTAGAATATGTACTGGTCAGGTGCGAGTAGGAGGGGGAAATATCAAAATGTTGCCACAGTTTTCTTGAACAACTTCTGAAGTGATAGGGACATATTAGATGTGTCCTAAAAGATTCTGTAGGTTTAGATGCAGCACAAAATGTATTTGAAAACTTTAACACCACTCTGTCATGAAAGGACTAGAAAACTTAGGGTTTCTGAATGGTTAACAGATCTTTTGAATAATCTGCCCAAAACAGCAATCACTTTGCTCTTGCATGTGTCCACCATCCTTGTGCTTGTCCCTCTCTTTGGGCATTGCTTTCTTTGCAAGAACACAGCAAAAGAGCTGTTGTTATTGTGGAAGAGAAGTTTGTGTTTATTACACAACCAGCAAGTTCCTGGATGCATAAAGTACTTTAAAACTTTGTTAAGCATTCTTGGTCCTCTGCCTCTGTAAATCATGGGTATTTTATGAAAATGACTGTGGTGTTCATGATTGCTTCACTGATTCTAAGTCAAACTTAGTTCACAAGCTTGTCTTTTGGTGGTGGTATTTTTTTGAAGCTGTTACTCTCACACTGAGATGTGATTGACAAAACATCTTTTTTTTTTCCTGGTTATTATAGTGTCTACCACGTAGTTATTGTTTTTATAATGATAATTAAATCCTTACATCAGTGTGATAATTATCTTGCTCTTTCATGATTGTTCTGGATCTTCAAGATTCACTTAAATAAGCATGTGACTCACTGTACATGTGAGACGAGTATTACCCAGCATACTTGTCTTGATCATCCAGCTTCTGAATAGAACTGAAAATTCTTGCTGCCACTGAGTTCAATTCACCTGGCAGTAAATTCCTCCCTTAAGAAACACAGGGCACGTTCGAGTTGTGCAGAGAGCATACAAAACCCTGCTGGCTCCTTTCCCTTTATTTGGTGTAACGACAAACAGGAGTGACTTCTGCTTAGTTGTCTTCGTACTAGCTTGAGCAAAAGTAGTTTTGTTCATATTGTTGACAAAATTAACTAAACTCATGTTGCAAATCATGGAATTTTTTTTTAACTGTACAGAGGTGAAACATGAGACAGAGGTAATGCCATGGCCTTGTGACCATTTGAGTTATCATCTTTGCTTTTAGAGTCCTGATAAAGCATTTTTGACATCCAGCTGTAATGTTTCTGGTTTCTATCAACACTTCTAATTAGAAAAAATTCTGTTGTTTTAAAGCCAAGTGCAGGTAGCTTTAGAAAACGGCCATCAGTTTTTCACAAATACTGTGGAACTAATGTTGAGAGATTTGGAAAAATGTCTTGGATGTTCATGTAAAGAAGGAATCTAGTTAGCTTAGCTGGTTTTGATCAATCTTGTGTGAGTCATAAAGATGACAGTTGAAACAAAAAAAATTCTGGTGACTGGGTTGATATAAACTGCTTTTAAACAAGACCCACAACTCTAATGGAATGTAAACTGCAGACTGTTGTATTCACCAAGTAAGGCTGATGGTGTGTAATCAGCTGTTGGTAATTTTCTTCTGTCTACTGATTTTTACTTGTCATGAACTAGTCAATCTCTGTTCTAAGACTGTATGTTTAACAATGTTTTCTGTCTTTGGGCTGTGTGGCTTCAGGTTGTCTTTTGGAAAATACTGCTTATAAACCACACCTAATTTGCAGTGAAGATCTGAGGATAAACAAGATGCAAATAGGTAGACTGTAACTGTTACTGTCTTTTAATAACAGTTCTGTTTACTGAGATTGCCACTTTAAAACTACTTCTAGCCTAGCGGCTTCCTTTTACTAACCTCTATTGGAGTGAAGGTTTTGAAGTGGTGTAGGTAATCTTACAAACACAGCAACAAAATAAATGTCTAGTAAATGCAGTTTGTAAAGGCAATGGTTATAAATTAGCATCTAAAGAAAACCCGGAATTTTAACACAAACATTAATACTAACATTTAGTCAGTAAAGTACAAGATTTCTTTGACAAATTCAGGAATTTTCTATTACAGACAGTCTTCCAGTTACATACTTGAATACTAACATTGCTTAAGATGCTGTACTTGAGAAGAGCTGAGCTGAAGTGTTTGAACAAGTTTGCTGCACTTTTGCAGTATTTTCATAGTCTGCATAAACTCAGCTCAGATCAGTGTGTGTATAGTCCGGAATCTTCTCAAGAACAGCCCTGCAGCAGTTGTTTTTTACTTGTCTATAAGTTAGTATCAGATTTAAGGTATACAACTGTTTTATTCTTGGCTTCAGCAGAATGGCATGATATCCTTATCCCTGACAAATGGAACGTTGAGAGTAAAAATACTTTTGACTTGTAGAAGGGGGTGTGTATCTCACTGTTTGTAGGACATCAGATGTAGAAAGTTCTAATTTTTAAATAGTGGCATAGGATGCTTTCTGCCCCTTTAACCACTGACTTCTGTTTTCTTTGTACAGTTTGTTGCATAATTTAAGGACCCGGATTTAAGGCTTGGAAGCCCATCCCTTGTGTTTCTTGGTTTATGACTGTCGGCTTTGTGGAATACGGCTGAGATGAAAGGATTTCTTGAGGATGCAAATTACTCCATTGGTCTGTTGGATGAAGGAGCAACTCTTGCAGATGTTATTGACAACTGCATTTATGAACATACTCATGTAAGATTTTATAAGTTTTTCAAATCTTCTCATTTAGTTCCCTAAGTCTTCAAACTAGGTCAAGGTATTAGGACTGATGAGCTGGCAGCAACAGAGGAGCAGCTGGCTAAGCCTCACTCACCTTAAAGTAGTTTCCTCTTCTAATTCTGCTGCTTTGCTCTTTGCTTGCCTTGGGCAGAATTCTCTTGGGTAAATTTGGGCAGTGACTCTTACCTCCCTGAGTGTGGCTAGCAGGAAAGTAGTCTTGCTGATGTCATTAAATGCAGGTTCCCCTCTCATTGTTTCAGGAGGTTTTATTATCAGTGGGGTGTTTAGACCAGGAACCTCAAGTTGGGCAAATGGATATATTGAGTTAGAAACTTTGTTGTTGTTGTTCTCTCCCTGAAAATATGGCAAAGTTTAGATAAATATGTATGCTGAGCCAGTTGAAAGCCATGTTTAAAATTTCTGTGAGCCATCACATTTGTATAGTTACACATCTTCCCATTACCCTTCTCCCCGCTGGAAACTCAGGTATGAGCCTCTTGTGAGGTGCTACCTTTCAAGACAATTAACTGGTCTAAAAGCTATTAAGGTTTAGCAACCTACTGGAAAGAAACTTGGATAATCCTATGTATACAACAGTAGCTCTCTTGAATAAGGCTTCATTCATTTCTCAGGAGGCAGGAGGATGTAGCCTTTGTTTTACGGAGAAGGTTGCAGAAAGAGTGAGATTTAAAAAAGGTTTCATTCAGCAAATCCTGTATCCTTAGTATGCCATACCTGTGAGTTGTTCACTTTTCCCTTGGTTTATCAGAACTAACGTTCAAGTGCAAGTGCTCAAATATAGTACAGCAAATAGCTAAAGTCCATGGCCTTCTGAACTCAGGTGTAGGATTCCCAAATCCTGATTCCTAATATTCTTTTTCTGTCTAGCAAATAAATAGGTAAACTACTGGCAACATGTCATGTCTCCAACCACTGGCTGGCTCACAGAGGATAGCTGCCTCCTGCTGCTTTCATTTACTCCTTTAGCTCAAGGGGTAGAGGCCTGTGCCATGGATCTAAAGCTCCAGATCCCATTC